TTATTGTCATAAATTTATTATATGTATATCGTTGAAAATTGAAATGAGAGTATAATATTAATAATTATTGATAATTTCAAAACTGCATAAAAGTACTTATTTTGTGCACATTTATAAGAAACAAAATGTAATTTTTATATAGATGTGCTCCTTCGCAAGAGAATCATAAGTAAAAAAATATCAATTTATATCGTAGTTTTATTCAGTTTTACTAGATTTACGTAATATGAGTTTTAAATGGTAAGGCTTGTAAGTTCTAAATGTTAGTATAATGTTATTAGTTAAAACAGAATTAACTATTTTAAAAAAAATTTTGTAATATCTTACGCCAAAAAAAAAATACAATTCTTAAAATCCATGAAATTTTATACAATGTTGATGAACAATAAAATTGTTAATAAATATAATTATTATTCGTTACTTTTCATCAATGATTTTTATTTTTATTATTTTTATAATATAATACATTTTAAAACATAGAATGCCTGTATTGTATCATATAATATTAAATAGTAAAATTTTTGTTTAATCATAAATCTAGCATATATTAATTTTACAATATACTAAACACTGTGATGAAATTAATATTTCGAAAGGGTCACGTCATATCGTTAAGTATCCAGTAAATCATTTTTTCCAAATACTATTGACAAAATTTGTTTTCTAATTTAACAGCAAAATTTAAACATGAATTATTAACCGAAAGAATATATAAACAATTCTTTGGATTAATATTTCTACAACACGTTACAATATTTAATAAAGGAAATTGATCGTATACTTAATTTTTCTCAGTATAGAAGATACCTTATATTAAATAGTACATCAGATATTAAATTTTGTAGAATATTTTTCTATCGTATGTTTTAAATTTTAATCCGATAATAATAATAAATGAGAGGTTGTGTGTGTGCGCGTGTGCGCGTGTGTGCGTGCTTCATAGCAAATGATGTAATATTAATGTGTGTCATCAATTTATATATTTTTATATTTATATTTATATTTATATTTATATTTATAATTTATAATTTATAATGTGTAATGCATCAACTTATATATTGTCACTACAGGGATATATCGTAAAGAATTAATATTGAGATAAAATATAATCAACCATAGTCATATTAATAAAACATAAATACAATTAAAATTTTCACATCTACAATTAATTTATTCTGCAAATTTCTAACATATTAAAATTTGTTAAAACATCTTTAACGCATCTACTTGAAAGTACAAAGTTTTAAAAAACAAAGAATGCATATATTGTCATAAATGTTCACATTAAATTTAACAGAACAATGCCATTTAAATGCACAGTAGTGAACGACGGAGATTACATGCATATGGAATCGATAAAGTATATACTTCAACTAATTTTATAAAGGTAATTGAATTACATGGATTTGGTTGAGCTGAGTTCGTAAGTTGAACAAGACCGAGTAGGTAAGGCATATATAGGGTTTTATTAAGAAAAATAAAAAGTTCAAAATCTTTAGGCAGATTAGTTTTAAAAAATTAAAGATTTTGTTAATAATGTAACTTAAGCATATTAGTTAGATAAGGCAAGAGATTATTCATAAGAGATGGATTTAATGTAAAGAATAAAAATATCCATCTTATATTTACAAAGTAATGACATTGTTGATTGTAAACATATATTCAACAACAACAATAATAATAATAATAATAATAATAATAATAATAATAATAATAAGCTTAATGAAGCTTATGTATGTAATTTCAGTCAAAGATTTTATATACTCTTATATAATTATTATAAGCTAATATTTTAATATCATAAATTTTTTTATTGAAATGATCGCATTTCGAATTCGTAAAAATTGAAATTTACTCTTTCGTAGAAATTTTATCATAGATTTGACTAATTGAAAATGAAAAATGTGTTACGAGTTAAAACCATAGAAGATTAATAAGGCGATTGAAAAATCATTTCAGAATAAATAAAAATATTTGCATATACACTTGAATGTATGTAATTATTGAAATTTTTAAATGAGCTTATTTCTTTTTTAAAAATATCATATATATATATATATATTTATTTATTTATTTATTGAATTTAATAGTTTGTTACGTTAAATTTATTGAAAGAAAAATGCAAACTATCCTACTTAATACCTAAAATTATAGTTTGTCTTGTTCTTTATATTTTCATCGCCTCGTAACGATTAAATTTTTCCAAGTGTTTTTTTTTCTTTTCGATAATCGTTAATATTCTTATTTTTAAATTAATTTACCACGTAATTCAGAATTAAATAAGTGCCAATAAACAAATTAATGTTTATTTACAAACACACAATAGATGTTTGCAAGTCTAGTCATGTATATTTTACATAAGTTTGTACTATGTATGTAAAGATATTTGTCTAAATCGTTATAATTAGCAACTCTGGCGGATTTGATATACTGAAGTAGTTATTGGCCAAATAAAAAGTAAAGCATTATCTTAAAATAATATTTAAACATTGCTATTATTGTTAGAAACTGTCTTACATTGAGAAATATTACTCAATAGTAAAAGAGACTAGTCAAATTGATTGCAAACTGAATTATCACGTCTGCAAAACATTTAATACACAGCAAAAATAACGCATTACAACGAGTTTTAGCTACACTTGTATGTTCTCACGTATATTAGTGGTTGTAGAGAATTTGAATAAATTGCAACTGAAAGAAAAAAAGCTTCTTAGCACTTGTTGGTATAAATAACTAAGCATTTATTTTTATGGTTACAAAGACAAATTTCTTTAAAAAGTTAAATTGCTTTTAGATACATTTTGTATTTCCTCTCAAAGTATTTTAGCGCATTTAATTTATACAAAAATATAAACATATATAAAATAGTCTATGTACAAAAGAAATAAAATACATATTTCAGATGTTAAGATATTTAGTTTCCATCAATTTCTTTTAGAATTTAATTGCTAATGAAAAGAAAAATGAAAAAAAGTGCTTAATTTTGTGCAATTAATTGAGAAAATGCACACGCACACGCACACGCACACGCACACGCACACAGACGGACAAGCACAGAATTGTAGATGTCAAAGGTGCCGAGCCGAGCAGCTACATATAATATTTAGTTGATAGTAAGTACAACGTAGACGAATGATGTTAGGTCAGCTTAACGAGTGCATGGATTATTATTCATAAGTGATTTATCAACGAATTAGTTAGTAATCAGTAGCGTCAGGACTCGCGCAAAAATCATCGTGCTAAGCTAAGCTAAGCTAGCTGAGCCAATCGCTCGAGGGGCCGATCGCTCTAAAAGTCGCGTCGCCAAATTTTATAGCGACCGCGCTTTTTCTAAATATACCCGATGGAAGGAGAAGGAGACTAAACGCCGGCACGCGCGGCCTACCTCTAACGCGGGGGCAGAAGAGCGAGGCGATCGCGAAGGAACTTGGAAATTTTTCGGAATATGAGGGCCGGGGGACGTGAGAGCGCAATGAGCCGACTTCGCCAATTCGCTGGTTTTCGACGCGCGTCATTAATTAGTGGTGGCGGTCACGTAGAAGGGAGGAGGAATATGCTACGCGTGTCGCTCTCCACTGCCTGGCCGTGTGCAAGTTTTACGAATCGAAGAGTGGCGGCATTTTTATTTTGATCTATGGCTTTGTGGGGGTGTTGCGGTGCGGGCCGGGCAGGAGGGCGACGAGGCGGGAAAAAATTCTCGCGCTGCGCGCTTACGAATGGTCTTTACAGCCAATCGAGTTCTTTCGCTGCTCACATGTGTATATCGATGTAGTGGATTATTGAAATGTTTAGCATGTAGATCGATGTGCTTGGTGTATCGAGTAAGCAAGTGCTTAAGTTATGTACTTGCATTGTATATTTCATGAGCAGGAACTCGATACGAAATAGAGTTGGAATGGAAATGCTTGGTTTGGTGGTGAGGCATTAAAAAAAAAAAAAAAAAAAATATATATATATATATATATATATATGCAAGATATTTATCACTGTATGTGATACAAATTTGTAAAATATTGCATTTTATCTACTATAAGCATTCGAATGGATATTATAAGAGAGAGAGAGAAAGAGAGAGAGAGAGAGAGAGAGAGAGGTGGTGGTGATATTCTATGTTAAACGCATTATGACAAACCCGAAATGCTGTAAATTTAGCAAATAAATTTATAAAAATTAGATTAAAAAAAAAGACATGTTCTTGGAGAGTGGTGTGAGCAATTTTTGATAGTATTAGCGGTTACCAATTTTACTAACATTCTTTTAATCAATGCGTAAGAATGAACATTACAAATTGAAAATTCCAAAGACTCACGATGAATTTAAATACTTTCATCGAGTTTTAATAATATTTTTAACGATGATCATTAAATACCAAATAAGTGACTTAAACTTCCATCAGTCCTTTAGATAAGTAATATTTGCTTAATTTATTAGTTTAATGGTAAATGGAGATTGAGATTGAAGAATAATCATCGGATCAAGTGCATTGTTGGCTCATCGTTAGCCAGTGCGGCAATGCATTCGTTAATTAATATTAAATATTGGTAAGAGTATCACAATTTAATAATAAAAAGCCTAGACGATATTTATGAATGATGTACCTCGTACTTTACCGCGTTCAAAAATTTCTACCATTTATATTTAGAAAACCTTAGTTTATATTTGTACAAGTGTGGAGTGAAAAAGAAATAAAAACGGTCCCGTTAAAATGTTGATTCATGAAATTACGCAGAAGCTCGTATTTTTAAGAACTATATAACCTCCATAATTTATTGGGACTATGTTGATCAATTTTATTTAGACTTATAAATATATATATATATATATATATATATATATATATATATGTTACTCTATCTTATACAAGAATAACTGATGGGACTAGAATATTTAGACAAAACTATAAATGCTAAAAACGAACGTTAACTTAACTATTCGTATTGTTATTGCTATTGATTGACAATAATGAAAGCTTTTGTTGTTGTTTTTTTTTTGTATTATAGCCGACATACCAAAATCGAGAAGTAATAGAGGAAAATGCTATCGCAAGGGCGGTAGTTTCAAATTCTATCGGTGGACAATACAATCAAGGTGGAACAACAATGGCAAAAATGCCATCCTTAAATAACAATCTTTCCGAGCTGGACACTCTATTGCAAGATTTGAGCAACGCTCGATACAATTCTCATTCACACGATAGAGGTAATTAATAATTAATTGTGTTATGTCGTTTTTTTCTCTGTTTCTTTTTAAATGTAAATGCTTAAATATTTTGTAAATTGCACCGAATCGAGTGAATTCGTCATTGTGAAATATAATAAATATTCGCACGAAATTTATAATAAAAAATTTTTTTTTAATATTCAATCGCTCTTCCTCACCATAAGAATAATTTTTACTGCACCATGCTCGTGCACACAATCGATCGGTAAACTAAAATTCGTGATATGTTGTGTCACGAAGAAAAAATTTTTTTATTAGTAAGTATATTTTTGGATTGTAACTTAGGCCAAGAATAGAGAAACGTAAGCGAGAATCTTATAATGGATAGGAAAAAATTGAAAGTATGTGAAATTTGAGCAGAAAATTCAGCAAATGCTTGCACAACGCGCTCCATCGTCTTTAAACGCGACGAAAGTTATCGCCATTTTTCTACAATTTCGACAAAGCTTACTTTGCGCACTCGTTCGCGTTCTACCTGCGTCCAAAATTTCATTAGATTTTCATTGGATATTCATTGGATTTTCATTGAATTTTCATTGGATTTTCATTGGATTATCATTGGATTTTCATTGGATTTTTACGTAAGATAATATAAATTACAGGCGAATATGATATTTCAATTAGATGGAAAATTGTTGTGAATACCGCACAGTGTTGTGTTAAGACACGGTCAAATGAAATTCTTACAAAATCGCGATCGTGTTAAAGTAAATATAATATTTATGATTTAGCGTGCTATTTTTATTTTTTTGACTCGTAGAAATATAATTTTGCCAACGGATATACACGAAGCATATAAAAATAATTCTTTTCAAATAATTGAAAACGAATTAAAATTCCCGTTTTTTTCTAACGTGAAAAGTTCTCGATTATCGATCAAATTGGCCATACATACGACTTGCGGGCCGCCACTCACTCGCAGCTCTCCCCCCCCCACCCCCCATCGCCATAAACCAGTGTATTCTCGACAAAAGTATAAAATTCTTTTTATCCTTCGTTCGATTATACGGTGCATGAATTCCTACCTATTGCCGGGTAATTGCTCATCCTATCATTCGTATTGTGATTAAATTGTTTTTAGATCCTCGTGCGTATAGAGTTCAATTTCGTTTCTTCAACACAGAGATCAGGGCAAAGAATCCATTAGTGCGTTATCCTTATTTGAAAATAATGTCAATGTGGAAAAATGTACTGGACCATTTTAAATCTACGCTATTTTACTTTAATTTTTAGCGACTGATTCGTGTGGAAATGCCGCAGTGCGTTTAAGTAAATACGTGGAGATGGAAGACGAGAAGCTCGACTTGATTTTTCATTCGTCCAAACAGATCTTACCTCTCTCCACCCTCCCTCCATTAATCCTCTAACATTGATCTTCATCTTTGCCATCGAGACTCATAGCTTACCCACCTAACTCTCCACCCCGTCTCCCACTATCAAAACCTCATCGCTCATTAATGAGCCGAGCAACGTGTCATCGTTGCGCCGCAATAACTCATCTCCGCGTTATTACGGATTGATCGTGCTTTGGCATGGGTCCCCGAGGTTGCGAAACGGCCGCGCCCTTCCTTTCTTGCCCTCCCTTTGCCATTCCTCGTCATTATCATCGTTGTCGTTGATTTCGGCTCCGACCTTCCCACATCGTTCATACACTCACACACGTCCATCACCGACGATGCACTTGCGAAGGCAACAACAGCCCGAAAGCCAAATTGGACGGCGGCCAATGAGACGAGTGCGAGGTGCGCGCTTGGCTTTCTTGAAAAGTCGCGGTCTAATGTGTCCGGCCTCGTCATCGATTCGATTTAGGCTTGTCCCGATTGAGCCTTGCCGCGGGTGCGCATCCGCGTGGGTATCGTGCATTTGGCGAAGTCGAATCGAACAAGAGACGGCACGGAGAGGCTTGTGATTGGAAACTGACGCTCTATTCTCCATGTTTTACGAGGTTATCAAAGGATTTTGGCCCGTTGCGTCGTTAAAGCTCGCGAATGGCTTTTCCACATACACTGTTTAAGACATTGTACGTAATTGCCGTAGAGGCGCGTTAATGTTGTTGTTGTTAGCGGTGGGTTGATAGCGGAGGGAAAATCCTCGGATACTACCGAGTTGCTTCGTCTTTTACTGAAGCGCGATTGATTCGCCGCTCGGGCTCCATTGATAAGCTCGAGGTAAAATATTCCATCTCGTTCGTTGCAAAATTTGCAGGATACGGATAAGAATATATGGTTGGTAATGTTTATCCTAATTGTATATTGGCATTTTCGTTGCAAGACTGCTGCTTTGGATTTATAGTCGAGCGCGTAACGTGTCATACTGATTATTGAATATAACATTATTGGCTCATTATTGACGTCGCAGCATACTAATTACGAAGCAATATTTTTACAAAGTCACCAAGTTATTTTTAATTCGCTAATTAATAACAAATAATTATGGGCGTGTAAATACTTTGTTGAAAGTAATTGTCTGGCTTTGTGCTTCGATGTAAACACGAATCCTTGAGGCACCTTAAATATTTTAGATAATAGTAGGACGCGATACAGTACATTCGATAACACGAAAAACCCATTCAAATAGAGAAAGGAGATGTTGATGTTTGGGAAATCTACATTACCGATCATGTAGATTGAAATAACAAAAAAAAAAAAAAAAAAAAAAAAAAATTGTTTTTCGCCTGTCCATAATGTTATTTTGAAAAGCTTAGATAAAATAAATAACCAGTCGGAAAGTCCTAATTTCAGAATAAATTTATTTATTCTTTATTGTGTAAGCTATAATGGATATTAAGACTATGATTTTTCCATCAATCATCATTTTTACTACCGTCCGCTCCAAACTTTCGGAATCTAATTTTATTTTCAAATTTTTTGCATTATCAGTCAGCATTTTTACCTTACGCATCTCCAAGAAAACTAAACTCATAATTTCCGATCTACGTTTGTAAAATTACCGCATGGAAGATTTCGATTAATTAATCTAACGAACCACTGCGAATCTGCAACATTTGTCAATCCAAACGTAACCGCCTTTAGGAAAACAAAAAACAAAACAAAAAACAAAACAAAAAACAATAAAAAAATATCCACAATCGCTCCACTCTCCATTTATAGACTAACGACGCACTAATTTTAGTACGCAAAATAGCCTCGCAACTATCTTATAACATATATTTATACCCATAGCTCTTCTCTAAGTCCCATAAAGTATCGAGTAAAATGCCATATGACACGAAGCCGTGAGATTTCTACGGTATTATTGTACGCCAATTTAGCCACTCGAATAATCGATAAAATTACGTGTCTTTACGGCTCCCGGTCATTCACAAGCCCACGAAGACTTAATTAATTAATTATACAATTGCTTTTTGTTTTTGTTTGCTTATGTTTTTTTTTTTTTTTTTTTTTTTTTTTTTTTTAAACGCTCACCTACTCGCGTCCTGCATCGATTATTGAAAATAACGAAATGACCATTGGAACTGTTCTATTTGCCTTGTCCAGAGATTCTATCGACTAATGGAGGAACGACGAGTCCGATCCTGCGCTCATCCAACAGCTTATCCGGGGTCAGACCGACTGTCGACACCTTACTGGAGGAGCTCAGCACGGGACTACCGAACGGGTTAGTATTGCTTAGCTTATTTTTTGCCTCCTCCGATAAGTCCTCTCAACCACTGCTCAAATCTCGAGTATCTGGCAATACGCACACTGACTCACGATCGCTTACTTTTGCCTTCGATTATTAAAGATGATAATCCTCAGCCTTGTAGGATTTTTTTTCTCTTATTAATTTATTTAATGTTTTCGAATTAAAGAACATCGTTGCAATATTGACAATCATACCTATTGCTTTATTACGTGTCTCTGGCAAGAATCTCTTTACGTCATTTGATATAATATTTATCTTTATAATGGCTTTTATTATTAGACAAGGAATTTAATGCCCAGCAGATTTAATCGTTCGCGTTTATTTTTAAAGTACGATTGATAAGTCCGCTTTTTCTTTTTTTTTTCTTTGTTTTTCCTTGTTTTTTTGTTTTTTTGTTTTTTTTTGTTTTTGTTTTCCTTTTTTTGTTGTTTACATAATATTATGCTCTCATATATCATATCAAAATAATAGTTGTTGACAAAAACCGAGTGAACACATGCTTAATGGCAAATTGTTTAGTTAAATTAGAGGATATTTAGAGAAATTGCGGAATTAATTGGCACATAATGAGCAAATATTTACACGTGACAGGACAAAAAGAATGGAAAAAAAACGAATAAACAACCAAATAATTTATTAACGTGTTAACTTCAACATTATATCGCTACTTATATAAAAAAAAAATAAAAAAAAACATGCTTTTTCAAATTTCATTCAATAAATTTTTACAAATCTTTTCCAATCTTATAGAAATTTACAGCACTGTGTAATGCGAAATTCACTCAACTCAATTGATTTTAAACGCAATACCTTACATAAGACGAAAATATTATGACAAAACACTTGGATGTATTTAATTTATAAATTGCTGATTATTAAATATGCCGAAAATTAATTGAGCTTAATTGAGTCAAAGCGAATCCGACAATTTAAACTTGTATGCTGAAAAAATTTGCTTAATACTCACGATTCTGTAAGCAACGATACTGCTGGTGCTTAAACACACATAGATCAATGTCATTGCGCGCCGGTATAAAATTTACAAATGACAAACGAAATGACTTTGTTATTGCGTAACATGAGAAGCCACCGAGTGTAATGAGTGTGTAAAGGTAAAGTGTAATTGTCAAGTAAGCGATTAATGAGCCCGTAATGGCCAAAGCTGCTCCCTAATAAGATAAAACAAAAGACATAAAAAAAAAAAAAAAAAAAAAAAAAAACAACAACAACAACAACAACAACAACAACAACAAAAACAAATGGAAAATAATTGATGGGCTTAGGGACTATCCGTCCGAGGCCCAACGCGTGAAGGTGACCATCCAGGAGACGTCGACGGAGGTAGAATCGACTCCCGGCGGAGAGCTTTACTATCCGTCGAATTCGCACAGCTCGCTAAGTAGGCGCGACGTCGAGCACAGCTACACCATAACCAGCAATGGCCACACAGCCAGCAACGCCACCAAGGAACTCGACGACCTCATGGCCTCTCTCTCGGAATTCAAGGTGAGCCTCGTCCATGATATCTGCCTGTTTGCTAGTTGTGTGTGCCTTGCAAGAGTCTCGATTCCATCAGCCATTGTTTACCATCACGCCGGATTACGATCCTCTCGTCTGCTAAGTATTGTCCCATTATCCGATATTTCCGCGAGTATTATCATCGCGACCGACTGATTGCACTATTCTCATTGATCATGTTTGTCATTTCAATAAATTAAAATGCACGCGACAAAAGACTTATCCGTATTGGCTTTAGTAGTATTGCGGTCAGCAGTCGATGAATTCAGCTGTTAAATTGTTACGGAAGAAAGCGGGAAATCATACGAATAAAGCTATCATCATATTTGTTGTTATTCGCCAGCACTTAACTGAAATTGTAAATTGTTAATTGTAAATTGTAAATTTCAGAATGTTTGTGGTTTATAATTGTCGAAAATAATAATAATGCTTTTACGGCATTAATCGAATGGTAATCAATTCATATCATAATTACTTGCTGATTGTTTATTATTCGGAAATTTCGATCGCGAATGGAAAAGAAAAATAAATAAATAAAACTACAAGTAGCAAACTGAAAATATTGTTATCTACAAAATACGATGGATTAAGTATAATTGATGAAATGCATATCTTTATTAAGTAATAAAAATGCTAATTTCTCTCTCTCTCTTCCTCTTACACTTTCAAAGTTTTTCAGATACATCAATTCGTAATGGACGTTGTATTGGCGATTAAAAGCATTTTTAAATGAAATTTTTCAAAATGCAAATAAAATAATATTAAGCTAGGTCATAAAAAGCTGAATTGTAAAATATTTTGGTATTTCGGTTTTAAGTAAATCATTGAATTGATATTAAAATAATTTTATTGGTAATAATTTACCTTTTTTTTTTTTTTTTTTTTATTTTTAAGTGGACCGTTAACGTTTGCAGGCAAATGCACAAAAATATATAACTATAATAATAGAAATAGAAAGTATAGAAAAATACGAAGTTGTGGGTCATGTGAAATGTATTTTAGTGTAAGCAAATATTTACAAAATATATATAGTACAGGGCAGTTAGGATAATATTCAATCTGTTACAACTGAAATATTTCATATTTGCCATAATTTAAATCCATAATATTAATTATGGTATTATTAGTATTGAAGAACTTTTTATTAAAAATTTACTTTTCTAAAATATGATAATTAATAATCCATCAAAATTTAATTATCGAAAAGCTTACTCAACATAAATATTTTAACGTTCTCAAGTTCAATCAATCAGTGGCTTTAAAATAATTTTGTAAACATCAACAAAGTAAAAATTCGAGGAACGACAAAATATTCAAATCAGGCCAGTAATCTAAATCAGTTGATAATGACATAGAAAGCACAGAAACAGAGAGAAGAATATTTCAAGTAAAATACAGAGAGAAAGAGAATGTGAGAGACAGAGAGAGAAAGAGAGAGAGAGAGAGAGAGAGAGAGAGAGACACTAGAGGAGAGTTTTCTGGGTAGAGACAAACCTCATTGACGTTGGAGGAGCTCCTGACCATTCTTGGCTGGCCAGGTTACCAAAATAACTTCCATTCCACTCGGAACTTATACGTTTACTCACGAGCACGTACATTTTTCGTGTCTGTCTGCCTGTCTGCCTGTCTCTCTCTCTCTCTCTCTCTCTCTTTCTCTCTTCTCTTTCTTGATGTCTATCTTTTTATTCTACTCACGGATTTGCGTGCATACACATCGCGACTGTCTCGTTTCTTTTCCGATATAAGTTTCAGAGAGATAGATAGATAGATAGAGAGAGAGAGAGAGAGAGAGAGAGAGAGAGAGATGTTTACCCACGAGTCGAAATATACGCCTAAGAGCTTATTTCTTTCATTAACTTTCAATCTCTCATAGCTGTACACTCAGAGATTTGAAGAATCTAGAATACTCGAGTGTCGAATAATTTTTTTATTCTCGTCCTGTAACATTATGATTCATGCGGGTTGAAAATATGGCCATTCAAGCATAAAGTATCGACATACTCGCTTTCGACAATGGAAGGGTAATCGTAGAGATACGACAGGTGGGGCGGAATGAGGGTTGGGTGGTTCATACGCTGCAATAAATCAAAAATTCATCAACATTTTTGCTTTTGATTTAACAAAAAGTTACGTGAAATTTAACCCTTTGTTTTAATGATTCAAACATTAGCCTAACGATTAATAAATTTCTTCAATAATTAACCAAATGTAGAAAAGTAAATAACACATAAAAACAATGAAGACGAGATGTCGCCGCCTGGAGTCGGCCAAAGTTCGCAACAACGTCGCGTGCGATGGCCAACGTAGCGTACGTACCGCAATCGGGCAACTGTTTACGCAAACGACATAAGCGCGAAATAAAGCGAGGGTGTGGCCACTTTCGAAGGTGCACCTGCGGAGCGTCGGCAAAGAGGTGAGTGCGCGTAATGAGTATCGCCGAGGGCGAGGGCTTCACTCGTCAGCCTCCTCATCGGCTGCGCGTAAATTTTTCCAGTCTGTCCACTCGACCACAGTGCTCTTTGGAGTCTTCCTCCTTCCCTTAATTGCGACACGCTTCTCACCCCTTCCACGTCGTCGTCGTCGTCGTCGTCGTCGTCGTCGTCGTCGTCGTCGTCGTCGTCGTCGTCGTCGACGTTGTCGTCCTCGTCGACGTTGTCGTTGTCGTTGTCGTTGTCGTTGTCGTCGTCGTAACCGCAGCCGCCGCCACCGCCGCCGCCACCGCCGCCGCCGCCGCCGGCGCCGCCGCTACCACCGCCACCACTGCCATCGCTATCGTCATCACAGACTGGCCTGAAAATATCCAAAAGCCCCGAAGCTCTCGTCGCCAGGCAGAAAGCTCGTAGGAGTGCGAGCGGGATACATATAAAGATAGAGAGACGGGGAGAGCAACTGAGAGAGAGAGAGAGAGAGAGAGAGAGAGAGGGAGAGAGGGAGGAAGAGATAGGGAGAGGGAGGAAGAGAGAGAGAGAGAGAGAGAGAGTGCGATAGGGGGAGGGAGAAGAGGGATGTGCGTGCGTGCGAACACGCGCGCGTCCCCTGACCAGTTGCTTTATTTCTCTTTTCCGCCGTCGGCTCGCGCAGATCAACGGCAGTAACCACCAGCGGCAGACGGTAACCGATTCGCCGTACGCCAAGCCGAACAAGGCCACCGTAAATTCGAGCAGTCCGCTGCCGGGCTCGGGAGCAAGCGAACAGCATCAGCACCACCTCAACCACCACCACCACCACCACCACCACCACCAACAGCAACAGCAACAGCAGCAGCAGCCGCCGTCGCAGCAACAACATCACCACCACCACCACCACCACCACCAACAGCAACAGCAACAGCAGCAGCAGCCGCCGTCGCAGCAACAACATCACCACCACCACCACCACCACCACCAACAGCAACAGCAACAGCAGCAGCAGCCGCCGTCGCAGCAACAACATCACCACCACCACCACCACCACCACCAACAGCAACAGCAACAGCAGCAGCAGCCGCCGTCGCAGCAACAACATCACCACCACCACCACCACCACCACCAACAGCAACAGCAACAGCAGCAGCAGCAGCAGCAGCATCATCAGCATCAGCACCAGCACCAACAGCAGCAGTCGTCGACGAGAGTCCACGTGACTGAGAGCCGCACTAGCCATCACTACCAACCGCAGTACGAGAGTCATACGGCGACCGCCCAGTCGGTCACCCACGTCAAACAGAACCAGTTGGATTCTATGCTTGGTAATCTCCAAGCAGACATGAGCCGCCAAGGAGTTAATACGACCCAGAAGGGATGCTGCAGCGCCTGCGAGAAGCCCATCGTCGGACAGGTGACGACGTTATCGCCATGCTCGCGACCGTGATAATCCCGATACCCCGCTATCCTCGGCACCCGTTCCTCGTCCACGGACGAGTCGCGACGTGTCCCTTCGACCCAACGACGCGCCACAGGATTCGGCGCTAACCACTCGACTCGGCCCTCGCCTAATATCCTCTTCGGCCCTGTTCTAGGTGATAACAGCGCTTGGCAAGACCTGGCACCCGGAGCACTTCACCTGCACGCACTGCAACCAGGAACTCGGCACCAGGAACTTCTTCGAGCGCGAGGGTCGACCCTACTGCGAGCCGGACTACCACAATCTCTTCTCGCCTCGATGCGCCTACTGCAACGGGCCCATACTTGATGTACGTCCCCTAGGATTGGGTTATTGGATCGGGGGGGAGGTCGTGGTTTGAAGGGGGGGGGGGGGGGTAACGGCAGCTTAAATCGGAGCCTCGGACGAGACGAAATGTGGCAAGTGTGGAGCCGCGTCGGGGACCGGCACTCGCCGGTCGCGGCTGCGTTTCGTCTCGGGCCGGTGCCGTAACGTTCGGTCCAGCCCCCGAATTTCGCACGGCTTGTAGGCTCCGCCCGTGCAAATGAGGAAGGTCGGCTGGCCCGGGCAGCCCGTGTAACCAATTCACTTTTATCCTTTAGAAATGCGTGACCGCCCTGGAGAAGACCTGGCACACGGAGCACTTTTTCTGCGCCCAATGTGGCAAGCAGTTCGGCGAGGAGGGCTTCCACGAGAGGGACGGCAAGCCCTACTGCCGCGACGACTACTTTGACATGTTCGCCCCCAAGTGCGGCGGCTGCAACCGCGCCATCATGGAGAACTACATATCGGCCCTCAATAGCCAGTGGCACCCGGACTGTTTCGTTTGCCGGGTATGCGACGACCCACACATCCATAAGTATACAGCCTCTCGCTGCTTGTAATCGCAGCCCCCACGTTATTCCTTATCAGTCGTCGCTTAACCTGTGAATCGCGCGGTATTTATCATTGGGCACTCGGCTCTGCTAGTTAGTGGCGACGTTAAGGGTAAGGGACATTATGGCTTCGCCACGAGCTCGTATCGACTCGAGAGAACGGGATGGGTGGGCGTGGGCTGGCGTCGTTTTGCACATAAGATCGGCATTTCTCTGCATTTGCGTGCTTTATTTCTGTCATAAGGAAGCATTAGTGGCACGCCTGGTGGCATTTAGCAACTCGGACGGCAAAAACAGAAAGTAAAGTGTATTTTTACTTTAGGCGCGAATAGCTCAGAATCAAAGGCAAATAATATTATGAACGAATTTCGGGTGACGGGTCGTGCGAGACAAAATTGCGGTTAGGTTAAAACGCGATTCAGAGTCGTTCGCACTTTGAGCGATAAGAGCAATGTCTTGGTGAAAAAAAAAAAAAAAAAGTCTCGGAAGA